TAAAGATCAATGATAGCCTAAACCATCTGTCTTAATACCATCATGGAAACCTAAACCATTCTGTCTGAATACCTTCCTTTTCATCAGCAATACCTGCAAACCAGAGTTACAAATCAGACAGGGTGCCAGAGCACCTTGAGGAATTAAAATAGTTAAAATGTAATGATAACTATCAGCAGTCAACTCTTGCTCATAAAGTGAAACCCTTTAGCAGAGAGCTCGTTTAACTTAAACAGTTCTCCCAAATAGGTACAAACTGGCTGAATCCCACCACTACTTATACAGCATCACTTCATCCACATTTAGTTAGGAGTATGTCCCAATGTCTATATTCACGTGATATAATTTAATAGATTAATTAAAGAACTAAAGGTTGCATCATGCAACATGTTAAGCTTGGTTAACTGAATTTTCTGAACCCAAGCATTGTATTCATTGGAATATTATCCACGAGTTCCTTCAGGAAGAAAAATAGTATAAAAATAAAATTAAAAATTAAAAAAATACATTCTTATTGACATTTAGGCAGAGTACCAAATAATGGAGCCTATATCCAAGAGAAATATGCATAAGATTGCATTATCCTTCCTAAATTGGAACACTCGTTTGCAAATTGAACACTTTTACAGAAATGTCAGATGTAATTTAAATGTATCTGCTAACTTTTCACTTCTGTTTTTGCTTCACGTTTTAAAGCTGAACAGACTTTCCCCTTTCCTTTAAAAAAAAAACCAGATTATATGTACTGCTAGGATATTTAACACAGAGAAACATATTGTGTTTTTACCAACCAAGGATTAATTTATATGGAATTCTTTTTTAAAAAAAAAATAAGTCACTAAAAATCAAATGAACAAAGAAAAAAGATCTAACCACTCTCCTAACGAACAACATCTGATGAAATGCTTTGAAAAAGAGAGAAAAACATCCTTTTGAAACAGAGAACATTTTCAAGCACAGTCTTTCCAAAAGGCTGAGGAAAAAGCTTACTAGTTTAGGTAGATAGTATTATTTTACTAAGTAAATAAATAAGACATACCAAATTCTGCTACCACATACCAGACAGGAATTCATATTTGAAATGGGGCCAATTTCATATTTGAAGTAAATCCCATTGACTATATTGGGCTACTCTCTTAGGGACAAATGCCAAAGCAAAGTTCTGCAGTTTGCTTCAAAAAAATAACTTCTGTATCCTCACAAGTTTTAGCTATCACAGCTTTTACAAGACTATATACAGATCTGGCGATCCCTGCAGAGGATGCAGGCTTAAATTTGAAAGGTAATTTATTTTGCTACCATTCCGTTTCAGGGGAAAAGTCACAATAACTCAAGGGGTTTGGAGCCAGGGTTCTTTTAAATAGCTTCTTGGAAAAAATGGAACATTCTACAGAATATTTTTCTCTCCACTCCCATTTTTCTTCTAATAAGTTTCACTCAATCACAGAAAATTCTTTTTTTCCCCCTTTCATTCAAGACTGCCTGCAAAGTCCCTACACTTTTCTGGCAAGATTTTTCAAGAAGAGAGAGAAAATGACTGGCTCAAGGTCACAGACCTAAGTTGGGGTGGGCCAAGGGGGAGACTAGAAGTCACAGTGTCCTATTTTTTTAGCCAGGTGCCTTAATCATTACACCAAATTGGCTTTCTCTGCAACTTAGCTGCAGCTTTACGATATAAACTAATTTAGCTGGTTTCAGGTTTGACTTAGCCTAACTTAGCCGGGGATTCTCACCTAAAACACACAGTCTTTTTTCCTTTGAAGATATGCAGCTTTGCATTGGGGGAAATGTGTATTCTACCTCACCTTGTTAAAATATTTCACTCTTGGTACAATTTTAAAACAAATGTTTTTAATACTACCTAATGCATAAAGCACAGAAACCAAGGATCATCTAAAAGGGACATGATTTACAACTTAGCATGCTGATACCTGTTGCAAGTTTATGATTACTGTGTAAACATGTTTACACAAAATTGGGGTGATATTTTAAGTATCAGGTATAAGCAACACAACATTTCAATGGAAATTGAACCATTAATTGATGGTTAACATTCTCAAGATATAGCTTCCCTAATAAGTTAATGTATTAGAATTATTGGAATTAGCCAAATCTTTGGCTAAGCAAGTGTCTTTTCAGAGCTTATTCAGTTCCTTTGCCATGTCTTGCACAAGGGTTATAGACATTACGTAGGAAATATAATATGTTCATTAATTTTGTTTTATCTCCCAGGGCTATGTGGAAGAACAAAACTCATTTGATTCAGTTAAGGAACTATAACTATAACAAACTCTAACCTGATACTTATAGTTCCTTAAGTGATTCTGCATGCATAAAAACTTAGAGAACATGCCGAAAGCCATTGGTTATTTATGCAAACATTACTGCATGCACCAGCAATTATGGTATGCATTTTGAAAGTATACATTCAATAAATGTAAAGAATAAACCTTGAAACGCCTGTTTAGACCTTGTCATGCTTAAGAGCACTGCAGTGAAGCATCTTAACTGAAGTAAAAGAAACAAGTACAGCCACAAAGAGACAGATGTAAAAAGCATTTCACATTCCAGAGCAGCACTGAATGAGCAAATCCAGTCTCCAATATTAAAAACAGCAGATAATGTGTCACAATGGTTGCATCTCTATAAATTCAAGTTTATTACAGGTGTAATAGGAAATGTTCTGATTTCATAACAATAAGTCTTATGATATTCCCAACATCCTTTGTTCCTGCCACAAATGGATTTAGGGTGTTAAGAAAAATGTAGAAACTATTTTTTAAGTTTGCATGAAATTCTGTATCAGTAATATATGGATGGTAGGAACTCAAAAATTACAAAAGGTGAGAAAGGAGAAAAAATATCTGAAATTATCATTCATCTTTTCTCCATCTAGAAAAAATCCAGTTCATTAAATTATTGTTGTTCTGAATTAATGATTAAGAAAGAAAGGGGGGAAAATTCAATTGTTTGTCTTAAATTCATACACTTGATTTCTTTCTTCTCTGGTGGCAACTCATCTTTACAACTTTTAAGATAGCTTGATGAGTAGCAAGTGAATGGTGGAAGAGGACTGATTAGATCCAGATTCCAATTCTTAATAAGCCACAAAGCTCACAATGTGGCCAATCACTATCTCTTAAGATAAAACTGGTTGGAAACCATAGAATTTCAATAGTATGGATCATAGGCTATGAACTACTTAATAAATGGGTAGGTCTGTGCTAAGCAATGAGAAAAAGTGTTCTGTTTTGGAAAGTCTGTGAGGGCCAAGGATATGGTCTTTTTCATGCAGTATATACAATATGATGGCTTTTTCCCCATTTAGGACAAAGTTTATATCAGTCTTTCCCAGGGTAATACCTACAAGTGGGTTTGTCTATTATATCCAATATCCCTAATCAGCAAGATAAGCAGGAATAAAGAACAGCATATTCCAATATATCTAGAGTACCATATTGGGAAAGATATGCTTCTATAATGTATGGGTGTGGGTGTCTATATCCATTTTACTTAGGTCATTTGTCAATAGTATATTTGTCAATAATATATTTGACTGTTGTTTGGACATATTGTGAAAGCAATAAATATAAGAGAATCACTGTAGGTGCTGAATCTGAACCAAGCATCTGCATTTGAGAATTAACTATCTAATATCTCAGGGCATGCATGTTGCATTCTTGCTACCTCTGGCCAGTGATATGCTTCAGCCCCTTGCTGGCTTTGACCTACAGATGTGCCTCAGATGAAATCTGCAACAAGTTCGCTGCAATTCTACCCGAGTCTCCCTTGATGTCATTGGAGATTCTTCTTGCCTTGATTACCTGGCTTCATACTTTCCAGCTTCAATCCCCATCATTGCCACACAGGGCTGGGGAAGCCTCCTGTTTGAAACGCTGAAGAATCAACACTCGGCCAGACAAGAGACGGAGCAATAATCTGGTTTAGAATATCTTCCCTCCTCACAAATGAGCTGCCTAATTTGCCCCCCTAGGCTGAAACTTTGGGCTGACAAACCTCAGTGAACGGCTGGTGGGAACAAGACTGTTCCCTATGGGATCTTAAGGCCTTTAACTGGGAGGATAGTAGAGATGTTAAAAGGACAGGGAATAATAAATCAAGTGAGCAAAAAAAAAGAGCTCACTTTTTTTTACAAAAATATTTATTTCTTTTGTAAAAATATAAATGATTGGTCATACATACTTCATTATGCTCTACAGTGGAAAAGAAAGATTTTATATATGCTCCCTAGTCAGAATCAAGCCGATAGTCCATGGAGATTCTCAGTCATCCATTTCATGGTTGACCCACAGGTGATTTTTCAGGAGGCAACTGGACTTTCTTGCATTTTCTTTGAAGACCTTTCCCTTCTCATCCGAAAAGCTTCTTCAGCTCTGACTGGATGGTGGAGAATGGAAGGATAAATTAGGATAAGGGTAAGGATAAACCATCCAGTCAGAGCTGAAGAAGTCTTCAAAGAAAAAAACCAAGAGAATCCAGTTGCCTCCTGAAAAAGCACCTGTGGGACAATGAAAACGATGCAAAAATTGCCTCCACACATTTAACCAAGTACCACAAAAAGAAATGGTACAACTGCTTAACAAACTGTCAGTGGAAATGTAAGAAACTAATAGGTTCAAAGCTGCTTCTTGGCCTTGGCTACTTGGAGAACCCTTAGTCCCTGTGTTTCTTTTCAAATCTTCTGCAATCTTTTCCCAAAGGGCTTTCCTTAAAAGTTAAATGCTGCAAATGTCTTATTCTCTACAGGCCTGGTGGCGGTACCTGACGGCAAGCGAGCCTCAGAAGTCAGATTTTGGGGTGGTTTGTGACTGGGGGGGGGGGGAGCCCAATTCTCACACTCAAGTGTGACTAGATCTTTGCAGCCCCATGCGACTTGTGCCCCTTCTTAGCTTTTCCAGGCTCTCTCAAAGCCTCGGCCAAGAAAATCATCCTTGGGCGTTGCACTTTGCACATAGCCAAGAGGTTCCTCCGGGACTCACCTTTGGAGATGATGGAGATCAACCGCGATCCTGCCGGCGCAAACTTGCCCCGGGGGCCGACCTCAGCTTCGTGCTTTCGTCTTGCAGGTGTCCGACTGTCCCCGGAACCCCTCACTCACCTGGGCCGTCAGGAAGGCGCGGCGGGAGAACCCGCGAGAACAGCGGAGGTTGGGAGGACGACTTCCCCGCCGCCTTGGTCCAGGTAAAGCGGGCGGGAGGAGCGGAGCGATCGCGTTGCAGCCGCCGCTCGGACTGAAAGGAGCCCGAGAGGAGAGCGCTGTCTTTAACCGAGACGCTGCTGGAAAGGAGAGGCGGGGAGGGTGCGGGGGAGGAAGGCTGACCCCTTCCTCTGCGGGGCTAAAGAGCGGAGCTGTCTCTGCGGGGAGCGGGGCTGCTCTGCTTCGGCCCCACCCAGCCACCTACCTCCGCGGGCAGGATGGGTGGCGCCGCGCGCGGGGTCTCCCCCCCCCCCCGCCATGCATCAGTCCCCTCTGCCCCGAAGATCTCCTTGGCCCCTGCCTCCGGAGGGGTGCTGGTGGTCGGCTTAACTAGGCGCCTTTGAGACAAGGTCAAGGATAGGAAGTCCTAATAGTAGTATCTCTAGCAATGTCTGTGCGTTCTTGCACAATCGCTAATATCTGGAAGATAAGTGAAGTCTAACTTCAATGCACATGAAAATCCGGTACATCGTCTCCTGAACGGACTAATGCGGAGTAAGTCTCCTCTCCGCTTCTTCTATGCACATCAAGTCTCCTTAGTTTTACAGCAAGCCAAACACAGGAATACCATAGTAGAGCAACCCCAAAGGTGCTTTTTTTTCAGAAGGCAACGGACTTTGCTTTTCCTTGAAGACATTTCACTTCTCATCCAAGAGGCTTCCTCAGTTCTGTCAGAACTGAAAGAGAAAGGAAAAGTCTTCAAGGAAAAACAAAGTCCAGTTGCTTTTTGAAGAAGCACCTTTGGGGACAACCATGACCTGGATGAATGAGAATCTTCACAGGCATATAGTAGTGCAACCATTCATAGATTTTGCTTAAGAGACAGTTCTAAAGAAAAACTTTACACCAGTATTTTTATTTTAAAGTGCAAGAGCAATACATTTGTTAAAATGTGGGCAATATGATTTAGTCGGTGTTGCAGGTGATGCAATGAGGCAGTTGGAGGAAATGTAAAGCCCTGTTTTCCAAGACTTCTGTAACTGGGCTAATTGTGAGTGTCACATCGTAGTCTGATTAAAAGACAGTCAGAGATAAGTAAACTCTTATCAAAATTGGGAATTATGCAATATTTACAGACCCCCTCACATCCTGGACATAAACTGTTTCAACTTCTTTCCTCAAAACAGCGCTATGGAGCACTGCACACCACAACAACTAGACACAAGGACAGTTTTTCTCCAAATCCATCACTCTGCTAAACAAATAATTCCCTCAGCACTGTCCAACTATTTACAAAGTCTGCATTACTATTACTATTAATCTTCTCATCACTCCTTATCACCCATTCCCTCCCACTTGTGATTGTATGACTGTAACTTTGTTGTTTCTATCCTTACAATTTATATTGACTTTCCCAATATGATTTGATTGCTTATTGTACCCTATGACTATTATTAAGTGTTGTAACTTATGATTGACTTTTGACAAATGTATCTTTTCTTTTATGTACACTGAGAGCATTTGCACCAAGACAAATTCCTTGTGTGTCCAATCACACTTGACCAATAAAGAATTCTATTCTATATGAATTGCATTCAGTATACTGCTTTTAATTACCTTGTCACAATAAAAATGTTTAAAAATGTTAATGTAAAAATCCAGATCCCTGGTAGCATCAGTGCTAGAGAAATTAGATCTCTGACTCATATTTCCATGGCTGCCAGGGATATTTTTTTTTCTCTTTCTGGCACAAGAAAAAAAATTCACCAACTCTTAATGCTTGCAAACCATATCCTTTCCATCATTCTCAGCCTGAGTTTAGCATTTCTACCTAACCAGTGAAGATGGAATCCTAGTCAACCTTCATGATGCTGATGGAGACATTAGTCATGTTCGGGTATATAGAAGGAAGCTACAAAGAAAAAGGTTGAGAACTAATTTCTCTGGCCACATAAAGTTGGACCAGAAACAGTTTTCGCTACCTCAAATTTGTTTAAATCTAAGGAAAACCTTTCTGACATAAGATGTGTACACCAATGGACCAATCTACCTATGAAGTACCATCCTTTCTGAAGGTTTTTAAAAAAGAGGCTTAGATACTGCCTCTCATAGATGATTTAATTGGTTTTCCATCAGATTGTAGAAAGGACCAGATCATTCCTGTGATCCCTTCCAACTCCACAATTCTGTGATTCTGCCAGGGTTCCAAGTAATAACTCCATAGAAAGCAAAACTCTGAGGCAGGACAAAGAACAATTTCAAAGAACAATTTTATTGGATGTATCATATTGGCACAAACTGATGAAAACTGATTCTGAAAGTTCCCATGGTTTTCACCTAATTAAAAATTGAAAGTTCCCCCTTTCCCCAAACAATCAGTCACATTGTCCAGTCGAGGTGCTGGCCTGTTGCTTGTTGCACTCCTCCTCTCCTCAGTCACCTGTTGGAATGTCCTTGGTTCCCACAGGAAACTATTTTGTTTTGACTACAAACCCCCATCTAACTATGTCCCCATTCCCTATCCCTCTTCACATTGTGGCAACCCTGAAGCGTCCAAAATGGCCCCAGTCAGGTTTGCTTCTGAGTTGACAGATTCATTCAAGTGATTATTTTCAAGTGAACTTTAATATCTTTAGGAAGATGTGTAATGGAATGTTTAGCAGACCCAGAAAACACAGGAGGAAGCAGGAGCATACCAGAAAAGATTCCTTAGTCCAGGGGAGAGAGGAAGAAGATTAAGAGTAACTCCATCTTTATTTTGCGAGTTATAAGCTGACATACAGACTTGACAGGATTTCAAGATTCCCTTACCTTATCCACTTACATTAGAAAGCTAATTTGATCTAGTCTTCCCTGGACTAGAAGCAGGGAAACCTCAGATGTAGTTTTGCTTGTGGCAAAACTTTGCTCTCTCAGCCCTAGGAAGAAAGGCAGGCCTAGCCATGATTCGCCCTTGCATAAAAGTGTAATGATTGAAACTGACTAGGTGTTGAACAGCTTGTCTCTTGGGAGGGAGTGAAAGGCCAGAGGGCTGAAATAAACAAATATAGGAAAAGTAGCACATAACCAATAACCAATAAATTGAATTGTAAGCTGTCCAGAGTCATCGACTGAGATGGCCAGCTATAAAGTTAAATCAATTAAAAAATATCTAAATCATAGTGACATCCCTAATTGTTTTCAGGATGCTGAAACAAGTAAGAGTGGTTGAGCCACATTCTGAAAACAATGCTGCATCTAGAAGTTGCAGTTCTAGACATCATTTCATAATTGCACAATTATGCCCTATTTTCTTTTACTATACTACTGCTAAAATTGTGGTACTGCGATCATGCCTTCTTTCCCAGATAAAATTGTGGAACTCTGGTCTCCTCTGCAGTGCCTGGTTGGAAGCCTGGAGAGAAATTGGTATCAACAATAGAGGTGGAAGACAGGAAAGGCATGAAAGAACTCAGGAAACATCATGAGCCACGGTGGTTCAGTGGTTAGAATGCAATACTGCAGGCTACTTCTGCTGCCTGCTGGCTGCCTGCAATTTGGCAGTTCAACTCTCACTAGGCTCAAGGTTGACTCATCCTTCCATCCTTTTGAGTTGGGTAAAATGAGGACCCAATTTGTTGGGGAAAATATGCTGACTCTGTAAATCGCTCAGAGAGGACTGTAAAGCACTGTAAAGCAGTATATAAGCCTAAGTGCTAGTTCTAGTGCTATTGCTATGTTGGTGGAGATGGCAAATGCTGGTAGAAAAAATGGCTGAAATAGGTGTATGGGGAGTGATTGCAGCAGTTTACGATCTGATAAATGCATGACATATGACCATGCCCACTGCCCTAAATATTGTGCAAATGCTAAGGCTTCTTCTACAGTATAAGAATACACTTTTTATAAGAATATTATTTTATGAGAATATACTTTTTGTATTGTCAAAAGTGACTCCTAAAGATTATCTTCTCCTAGTCTACATGATTCAACTCTCCACTATGATGGGCTTTTACACTAACTATTATTAAGGTTCAGTTGTGCTATCTCTAAAGTTCCTAACAATCCAGATTCATTGGTGTGATACTTTGGGTTGTTTTAAATTTTTAGTTATTGAACTAACAATAAACAGGACAAACCATGCATAGAAACATGAAGAGGCTGAGACTCAAATTTGCAAAATACACGATTCCTAAACGTATAAGCAAGCATCTTGGAACACATTATCCTTGTATCTCATCTTGAAGGCACTTGAGTTGTCTGTGCAGCATCTCTGATCACATTCCATTGCTTTCTGTCCTGATATGTTTAATTGCATAAAATGTTCTTGGCACACAAGAATTGCTCACTCTTTAATTTGTCTTGGTTTTCTGTGTTCATGCTTGTGCAGAAGCAAGTGGTATTGAAGACTGGTCATCTGGAAATATCAATGATAAAACATGTTCATCAAGTTTTGAGTTGGTATAATTGAACATTTATTTACATCTAAATTTTTATGCATACTAACAAATGTCTAGAGAGAAATAGTTTTTCTCCTTTATTATTAGAAACATTAATAGCGATAGTACAGAATAAAGAGAGAAGAATGAGAGGGTTTATTCAAACGCATTAGAAGCATAACCAATAAAGCTATTATTTGCTTCCCAACAGATGTTAGATAGTTGAAGTTCTCAATTACTATTTTGTGCCTCTCTGAAAGATCTGCAATTTGATCTTGAAAAGCATACTGCACTTTTTTCTTGGTTGGGCAGGTGATAATAGATACTAATAATGAAATTACTTGTATTTGTTCATCTACTTACATTAATGCAGATGCCTGTTGCTTTATCCTCAAATTGATTCAGTTGAGTTTCTGAGTAAGTGTGCATAATTTTAAGTATATAATGTAACACTTCCTCCCTAGAAGGAACTCTAGAAAAATTGTCT